CATCCTTCATCCCTCCATCCATCAGTAGAGACACCACTACACACGTCTAATGGGTCATAATGACGATTGAGAGGGAATATTTTAAATATTGTTTTTACAGAATAATCCTACTCGTTCAATTCAAACATAAACATCTTCACAATCATGAAGTGATAAAAAAGATCTTAGTATGTTAAAGAGCGACCAGGATCCCAAACGCAAAAATAACTAAATGATGAATATAACCGAGTCATGTGTTCATCAACGATTAGCAGCCTTCACACACAGCAGCAGGACCCTGAAGCTGAGCTCAGCTGTGGTTTGGCTGCTGTTCCCCATCACAGCTGAGACTCTTCTGCTCTTACTGTACCTTGGTGGGATGAACGATCCCAAAAGAGTTGGACTGAGGAAGCTGATGCAGCTGCAGCTCCGTCCTAATGAAGGATCATCAACGAGAGAACATTCAGAACACTGTGAGGACTTTAACACGATAATCATAATAGGAAATATGTGATGTAACAAATATTTAAAGTACAGTATGTACCTCATCTCTGTGCCGACTCCTGCCAGCATCTGAGAGAAGACCAGGAAGTTACTCTCTCCCTGAGTCTTCTGACACACTTTCCACTTGTCCAACATCATCGTCTGGTGGAGAAGCAGCAGAGAGGAGGAGGAGGAGGAGGAGAGGACCAGAAGAAGAAGACGACATGAGTATCTTTGTATCTAACCAGAGATAACAAACTCTGTTTAATGTGTTTGTGTGCTTCGTGCCTGTAGGTGTCCAGCGGCAGCCTGTCCGGCGTGGTTAAAGTCCAGAGAGAAGACCATGGCGAATCGAGACGAAGCGTCACTGTGCGGCGAGCTCACGCAGCCGAAAGACCTCAGGATGGTGAACATGGCCTGGACACGGTCCACTGGTGGGGGGGAGATCAAAATCATAGTCTGACATAAATAAGCAGAAGCAGAAGTATGGATATAAAGCGCAGTTCCCTGCCATTACGGATTATTGAACGGGGCTCCCGGGGCACAGGAACAGGGGCCAAAAGTGTCAGGGGCCCCCCAGGCCTTCAGCTACAAAATGTCCCTCAAATAAAATGACCACAAAGAGACAAGACAACCACAAAGACACTACAAGGAGATGTGAAGCAACTACAAAAGGAAACATAACGACTACAAAGAAAGGTCAAAACCACCACAGGACCAGGTTGGGTCCTTTTGGCATGTCTGTACCCAGGGACCCAGGGACCCATTGACTCATAGTCCCCCCGTGGCCCCTCCAGCTGCTGGACTCACCGCTGATCTTCTCCCCTGTCATCCCGGCCTGTCTGAGGAGAGCGAGGGTGAAGGCCTGGCACACGGTGGTCTTGCCGGTGCCGCTGCGTCCCACCGCACACACACTGTGGTCCCTCCTGGTGCCGACCATGGACACGTACACCCGTTTGACCAGAGCAGCCAGAGCAGGAGGAGCGTCCCACACCGACTCCCCTCGCCGAGACTTTGGGGTCTGACGAAGATGAAGAGGAGGTGAGCTTTTAATTTTTACAAAACATTACCGTTAGCTTCATCTGGTGTCATTGATGATCAACCTTTTCATTGGAGAATAAAGATATTTCTCAAAATACAAGCAGTTGAGGAAGTCTAGTCTTTGTATAGCAGTCTAACCAGCTGATGTTTAAAAACAGCCTTTTCTCTTCATGGGACTTCTGACTGTGGATGCTTCACCTTGCTGTGAGCCTGCAGCGGAGGCCACAAGTTCACCAGGTTGGGTCCCGCCTGTGTGAGCGGCATGTTGGCTTTAGCTCGACTGGTCAGATTGTGCAGAACTCCACATTCGTTGACGCTCTGCAGGTTGCTCAGGTCCTCGCACAGGTCCAGCTCAGACGGGTTACACTGTGAAAGGAGAGGGAACCGCTGTGAGTCCAGCAAAGTGTTAAACGACAGACAAGAAGAACAAGAACATAGACCTGAGCTACCTTCTCGATCTCGTACTCTGTCACGTCGTGCAGCGACCCGTCTGTCTGCAGACGGACTCTCACTCGGCCTTCTGGGAGTTCAGGTGTGCCTTCGTCCGGCTTCAGCTGAGTGGCTGAAACGAGTTCATACCAACCAATCAGAGACCAATAATCAAACTCTATCAACAACCACAACACCTGTTATCAATGCTGAGTGATATTTAGATCCTTTAAAGCTACTACAAGGAACTTTAATTTAGTGTTGGCTCTGTCGCCCCCTGTGGACTAAAGTGGTAGTGTTTCTGAGCAGAAAACCTCTCATTGCACTGCAGCAGGTCTGACAGAAGAAGTTCTGATACATGAATCCGTTTTAATTTTCTAGAATTTTTTCTCTAATATTTTAAATATTTAAAAAATGTCAATCAACGTAGCGTTACGTTGTTGCGCTACGTTGTTGCGCTACGTTGTTGCGTTACGTTGTTGCGTTACGTTGTTGCGTTACGTTGTTGCGTTACGTTGTTGCGCTACGTTGTTGCGTTACGTTGTTGCGCTACGTTGTTGCGCTACGTTGTTGCGCAAAACACAGTGGCTGGTGATTAGCACTGCAGCATCATAGCCCCCCCCCCCCATTAATCAATCATGTAGGGTTTTCTCCTGGAGCTCAGGTTTATCCTAAACCATTTTATCTGTGTGCGTGTGTGTGTGCGTGTGTGTGTGTGTGTGCGTGTGTGTGTGTGGTCCGTGTGTGTGTGTTTTGTTGACTCACCGAGGGTGAACCCCTCCTTGTGGACGAACCAAACAGTTCCAGCTTCGTACCAAACATCTCTGACCTGATGGAGATACAACAGAGATATTAATTATAGTGTATTTACATGACACATTTTACTTATGTACAGTGTTTATTTGGAGACAATTGCTAAACATTTAAATCAATTTGAATTAAAACTATACTTTAAAAAACACTCTTCCATTGGATTTATTAAGTCTCTAAAATTAAAATTCACAAATTGTACATTTTAAATAATGTCTATATAAAGACCTTTTTGTGTTTGGTGACAGATTAATAAAGTCTGTAATAATTCCAGGACTTCATATAATAAAGATCAGACGAACCTCTCTCCTGTCCGGCTCCGTCACACTCATGTCTGCTTGCCTCCCCTCCGGCTCCTGCCTCTCCTCCATCCCTTCCTCTTTCCTTTTCTCCACCTGCTGCACCTCCTCTCTCCTCTCCTCCTCCTTCTCGCTCCTCTCCATCTTCACTTCCTGTTTGGTTTCCCGCCCGGTTCCTCGGTCCGGAGCGTAACCGTGGCTCTGGGCGTCCGACCGCTTGATGCTGATGTTGTTGTTGTTGTTGTTGACGAGCTGTTCGGCCCGGAGCGACATCTCCGCCTCGAGGATCGGAGGAGTCTGATCCGGGAGGAGGAACTGCTGCACGAGGTCGTCGCTCAGCTTGTTCGGCTGCAGCGGAGAAAAAACAAGAGTCAAACATTTTGGTAAAAACACAACTCTGATGTCTGCAAGTTCTATTGAACACATCCATCTGTGTTTCCCCTCACCTTAAAGGAGCAGTTCACCCAAAACAGGATCAATTGTATTTATCAATATATAAAATATACTGTTCAGGCTCTTTATGGTCCCAGAAAATGTTTTTGATCAAATGATATTGCAAACAGAGAAACCGAACGAAAGATTATAAAACGTCAAAAGCACTTTCTAAACTTTCCCGTGCAGCATTATCTACACGTCTAGTATCCAGTCATGCTAAACAAAGCTTTTCCCGTTTCCCAATATTGTTTGCGGGCGCTCTGCTCTCTTTAACGCCCTTTGAGAGAAACATTTAGTGGGACCATAGAGAGCCGAAAGGAAGTGAGCGATATGCAATTTATCCTGGTTTTGGGTGAACTGTTCCTTTAACACTGACTGTAATTTAAACCTCAACCCAACGAGAAAGTGACGTAGTACACAGAGCCGTCATTATTTAAAGTCCACTAACACACACTCAGGGATCAACAAACAGGACCAAGAGTAAGCGTCTACTTTATGCTTGTTACGTAACGTTATGCTAGGGGTGGTTGTTATTTATTTACGCTAGTTAAGTTGTCACGAAACGCTGTTACATTGCGTTGTTACGTTACGCTGCCGCGTTGCGCTGTCACGTTGCGCTGTTAGATCACCTCATGGCATTGTGCGTTTCTGCATGCTTGATACAAAGCTAATTTATCTTTATCATATATTTTATTTATATAATTTTTTATCAGAAACATCGACAATCATCGTAAACCCAGAAACATTTGCAGAAACATACTTTCTAAATTCTGACAACTGGGTAGGACTTTGACACAAAGCTAGTTAGCTTAGCTGAAAGACAGGGAGAAACTGCGAGTGTAGCTACCTCTACAGTTCACTAATTAACATATAGAACCAATGTGTAAAAACAACAAGTTGTGGTTTTCTCCGTCTCTGCAGACCTGGCATGAAGTGCAACACCTAACGTCCTGATACAAGAGCAGAAAAGCAAACAGGATGTTTCTTCCTCGATTCATTGAACTCTGTCTGGTTCAGAATGAGAGGCTAACAGAAGAAACAGAAATCCGTGTTACTGGACACTTTTATGAAGACATCTTTAACTAGCATTAGCATTTTAGCATTAGCAAAGTGTGTGAGTAGGAATCAAACTTAATGTCAACATGAAACAAAGGTCAGTTAAAGTTTCATAACTGGGGACTCATACTCTCTTCTCATTGGCTCACAGACAACAACTTTGCATTTTGACACTTTAGCTCAGATTAAATTGAGTGTTTCCAGTTGTTATAGATATATAGATAAATAGATAAATAGATAAATAGATATATAGATACATAGATACATAGAAAGAATAAAGCGGCTCACTGGTCTCTCGTCTTTGGCCTCCGGCTCTTTCTGTTTAGTCTCCTTCTCCGAGTCTCTCACCAGCTGTTTGAGGAAGCCGCCCGGCAGAGCCGACAGAGGCGGAGGAGGTTCGGCCACGGCCACCGGCGTCTTCTCCTCTTTTATCTGTGGTTCAGATGATGGAAGCAGGTAGAGAGAGACATAAAGTCACTGTGAGACGTGGAGGAAGAGTCTTTATACACGATGAGTGAAACTACACATGCAGGTTTCTAAACTTTGCACAACATGCAGGTCACGGAATATTTAAAACATATCTTCTCTCTTTCAGAGTCGTCACTTTATATTTAGGATTTAAAATGTTTGCATGAGGAAAAGAACACGTAAACTAAATTTAAGATATAGTTTTCTGCCTCCATCCATCTCACTGCATGTTGTAGAAGTCTCAAATAAATATATTTAATGATCTTATTATTCATTTACATTAGTTTTAAACTCTTATGTAAAATAATACTTTAATATGTTTTTTGTTTTAATTGCATTTTGCAAATTTATAAAAAAATATTTAACATTTAGAGAATTATTCAACAATAGTCAACAGTTTTCTACTTTCACGCTGTTGGTGAAGAGAATTGTTGCTCCTGAATGTTTTTAAAGAGTCTAAAGGCAACAAAAAATAAATGTCACACACACACACACACACACACACACACACACACACACACACACAC